GCTTGTGTTGGCGCTGCTCTGATTGGGCCCTCTTGGGGCCCTTCTGGGGGTGGCAGACACGTCGGGTTTGGCGATGTTGGTGGGGACTGTCTGTGGCCCGATAGGGCTGACATTCCCCAGAGGCTTCTCCTGTAGAGGCCTGGGACCAGGGGGAATGTGGGTGGGGGAAGTAAGGGGGGGCGGTCATCCTCCCAAGAGGACGTCTGAAGTGGGGTGCGCTGCCCGAGAAGGCTGGGCCTGGCTTGGTGGTGGTTCGGAGGTCCCTGAGAATCAGTTTCCAGTTCACCTGTGGTGTTGCTGTCCTGAGACAGAGAGATCCTGAGGTTGTGGGTGGGAGGAAGGAGCCTGGAAGACCCCTCTGACCACCCTCTGGCGGCGTCCCTTCCTGGGAGTCACAGGGAAGACTCACAGAGCCCTCCTGCAGAGAACCCCCCTCCCCACAAGCCTCAGAAGCAGCAGAATGAGAGCATCTGGCGTTGGGTTAGATTTCATGGGGAGGAAGAAGAGGATGGTGAAGAGACTTGGTGCGGTCCCTCATGTACCAGAAAAGTTTAAATAGACAGAATTTGATAGGCATCAGTGTCCTCCCCCTCAAAATACCAAGTCCTAATCCCTGGAAGCCGTAAAGATGACCTTATTTAGAAATGGGATTTGATTAAGGATCTTGAGAGAGGGAAATTATCCTGGATCATCTGGGCGGAGCCTAAATGCCCCTTAAAGTCTCCTTCTAAGAGAGACCAAGGGAGGTAGGATACAGACAAAAGAGAAACCAGTGTGACCAGGAGGCCCAGATAGGAGTGATGTGGTTACACACCAAGGAATGCTAACAGCCACCAGAGAAGATGGAGTAAGCAAGGGACAGATTTGGGTTTGGACCCAGTTAAACCATTTACATCTAGTCAACACTGACTTGTGGAGCGTCCACGTGTGCCAGGGGCTGATTTCTTGGAAGTAACTTTTCTTCTGAGGCATCTCTGGGTGGACCTGGCCCTTCAACTTTTCCATTAGCAGCTGAGTGTGCTAACCATTTGCCCCACCTGGGGATTCCTAATCTGGGTCCAGTGATACAGATTTTGGACTTCTGGCCTCCAGAACTATGAGAGAGTATATTTGGGTTGCTTTTTTCTTTTTAACCACCAAGTTGGTGGCAACTTGTTACAGCAGCCACAGGAAATTAACACAAACATCTTCTTCCAAGACTCAGACACAGGAAATGTGCAAGAGAATGGACTTGGCCATCTGGGAATCACTGTTTTTGGACCCAAATAAGCAAGACTTACTCTCAGAGACCTGATTATTTGGGGACCAAGAATAGTTCTGTTTTAATCCTTTAGGGGAATTGTTTGGGTGTGCCTTTCCACACACATCCTCACATACAACCACTGTCAGGTATAAAAATATATTCAGATAGACTTATAGACACACATGAATACACAACTGGAATGAGCAATCAGTACTTACAGCCTGTACATGCTCTAGGAAACCCTTGTGGTCATATAAGGACTCTTGTTCCAAATGCCAGTGGCATTTGTATACTTTCTGTGGGCACATGGAATGGAAATCACAACCAACTTACCTCACTGCCATCGAGTCATTGCTGACTCACAGTGCCCCTATCAGACAATAAATGTGCCCCTTAGGGCTTTCAAGACTAAATCTTTACAGGAGCAGCTAACCTCATTTTTCTTCGTTAGAGCAGCTGGTGGGGTTGAACTGACTTTATGGTGAGCATTCCAACACCCAACCCCAGCACTATCAGAGCGCCTTACAAACAACATAGACGGTGCATGATGCGTACATTATACATTCCTTTGAAAGGCAGAAATCAAGGATGGCACTCAGAAATCTGCTGTGTGTCATTGGCTAGGGTAATGAAGCAGCAGATTTCCAGGGAACTATCAGAGGCTTGCATTCATTATAAAAAATTTGTATTAATCTAGGTACGTTAGAGAAACAAATCCACAGCAACTCATGTATAGGAGAGTTTCATGTAAAGAAAGTGTACATCACAAAAACATCCAAACCCAATGCTGCCCAAGCCCACAAGTCCAACATTAACCCATTAACCCAACACCAGTCCACAAAGTCCTCCACCTCACAAAACAGAGGCAATGACGCTGACTGCAGGAGGAAAGCTGAGTCAGTGAACGAATAAGCATCTCAGCACTAGCAGGGGTCTCCACACGGCTGATCCAGCACCCAGGGCTGCATCGGGATAGGTCCATGTGGCTTCTCCTTGGGGATGTCTTGTAGGAAGTCACTCTTGCAAGCTGAAGCAGAGAGCTGCTAAGGCAGCTGCACCCTGGTGCGACCATCACAAAGCAAGAGAGCTGAGAACTAGAAAGGCGAGGCTCACCACTCATTTATCCCTCCGCCTTTCAATTAGCCCCACATGTGATTATCAGCCAGGTTGGCACAATTAACTAACTCAAGAATATTTCAAGATTTATATTGAAATACAATGCTGTCTGTGATGGGATAATATCTATATCGATATAGATATTACTACAAGGTATATAGATATTATATACCTTGGAAGTCTTGGAAGAAGGTGTTTGTGTTAATTTCCTGTGGCTGCTGTAACAAGCTGCCACCAACTTGGTGGTTAAAAAGAAAAAAGCAACCCAAATACAACTGTTCTGATTTACA